AAATTATGTTTTTGGCTACAAAATTTTTCACCGATTCAGACTAAAATTTAAAAAAAAAGTTTAGATAAAATTATAAAATATGGTATTTTGTTTTAATGCATAACTTCATCATGCTCTCACATGTGAGGAAAAGTAAAGAGGTCTGAGACCTTATTTATTCATGTTTCTATAGAAATTACAGATTTTATAAAGGTTAGCCCATAGAATTAGGTGGAATATGAAGTTTTATTGAATTACTCATTAAAATATTAGAAACGATGTCTATGTACCATGAAAATAAATCTAACATAAGCTAATAAAAATTTAAAATGTGATTATTTATTTTTTAATCAACATAAAAGAGCTTAAACTTTAGTATATAACATTTATCGGAAATTCGATATTTTTGTAAGAGTTAACCCACAAATTTCAATATAATTAAATAATGTAATTTTCTTTTAATGGATAGATGCATCCAACACATATATAGGATGAAGATCAAGGATGTTTGACACCTTTGTTTACTCAATTTCTCTAGAATATAGAGATTACATAAGGTTTAGTTCTTTGATTTACGTGGTATATGAATTTTTATTAAATGACTCGTTGGAAAATTATAACTGTTGCCCATGTACCATGAAAATAAATTTAAGATACATTAGTATAAATTTTCAATGTGGTTAGATATTTAAACAACATTAAAGAGGCTAAACTTAATTACAAATAACATGTACCGGAAAAATTCGATCTTTTCGTAAGGGTTAACCCACATATTTCAAAATAAATTCAAAAATATAGAATTTTTCTATTGATGCATAGCTACATCCAACGCTGATATAGGATTAGTATAAAAAAAAATGTATCTCTTAGTTATCCAAATTTCTATAGAAAATAGAGATTTCATAGGGTTTAGTTCATTGATTTTGGTGATATACGGAGTTTTATTAAATTTTTTGGTTGAAAATCAGAACGGATGCCCATTTAACATGAACATAAGTTTAGTACATTAATATAAATTTTTAATGTGGTTAGGTATTTTTAAACAAAATTAGCCTATATATAATATTTATCGGAAACTCGATCCTTTTATAGGGGTTAACCCACATATTTTGAAAATCAATTAGAAAATATGGTATTTTTGTTTCAATAATTTCTGAAACATGCACTGACATAGTATGAAGAATAAAGATGTTTGAGACCTTAGGTGTTCCCGTTTCTCCAGAAAATAGAGTTTTTATAGGGGTTCGTCCACTTATTAGGTGGTATATTAATTTAAATAAACTACTCATTGGAAATTAGAAATGATGCCCATGTACAATGAAAATAAGCTTAGCACACATAGATATAAATTTTGAGTGTTTTATTTATTTTTAAACATCAATAAAGAGGTTAAAATTTATATATAGTATTTATCGGAAAATTCAATATTTCTGTAACTATTAACTCACATATTGTAAGATACATTAGAAAATATGGTATTTTTGTTTTAATGCATAGCCATATCATGCATTTTATATAGTATGAATATTAAAGAGGTTTGAGATCTTAGGTGTTCTCATTTATTTAAAAAATATAGATTTTATTGGGGTTAGTACACTAATTATATAGATCGTATTTGAAGTTGAAAAATTAGAAGTGATGCCCATGTACTATGAAAATATGTTTAGAATAAATTAATATATATTTAGAGTGTAGTTATGTATATTAAAAAATAATGTTAATGAGGCTAAACTTTAGCATATATGACATTTATTGGAAAAAAACTTGATATTTTCATAAGATAAATTAGAAAATATGGTATTTTGTTTTAATGCATAATTTCATCATGTACTGATATGTGATGAAAAGCAAAAGGTATAAGTACTTATTTATCTCCATTCTTTTAAAAATTACAGATTTTATAAGGGGTAGCACAAAATTAGGTGGAATATGAAGGGTCTAAATGGTAACAAAGGGAACGAAGGGGAATAATCAATTCATACTTATTCCTTAAAAAATACACCATTCATAAGAAATATTTCATGCGTATGATTCCTTGTCATTCCTTGAATTCTAAGGAATTATAGAACAAAAACATTCCTTATCAAAATTGATATGGAACCAAAGTAATAATTATTCATTTTCATTCCTTTTATTTTATTCCTACTTATTATTTTCCTACTCATTCGTATTCCTATTTTAATGGTCACTAAAATAGTCACCAGTTAGAGCCGAAGTTTTATTAATATCAAAGATTTTTGATCTCTATGTTATCCATATTTCTATAGAAAATAGAGATCTTATAGCTAAATAACTGCATACAATACTGATACATAGAAGATACAAACACTGGCTAAACAGAAAAAGATTAGAAGCTAAGTTACAATAATACGTATCCTTAGTTTTTTCTTTGTCACGACACGAATCCTTAGTTAAATACTGAAGTTTATCATTAAAACTACTGACTTGCCACAAAAGAAAGCTACTAAAACCTGAAAATTGTTCTTGTGTTAACTCAACCTGATATTTAGATATTATCTAGACAAGCTAAACTGCGTTAATCCAGCCATCATTCTCGGGATTATTTGTCACCTCCGCATATTTTCCTGAGAGATATGAATTAGAAATAATCTAGTTGAATGCACTCTCTAGATTATAAATTTGGTGTCGTACGTTAGGGTTTGGTAGATACATTTTCAACAATCATTCAATATTTTCGGTGTGTTTGTGCATCTTAATTAGAAACCACCCACAATTTTTTTGGGTCAAAAACCACCCACAATTTCTATTACGCTGAATTTTGTCAGAAGCATGATCTAATACACACAACAGTTGGATATGTAAATTTGTATATTATGTCGACCGATAGCACAGAGACGGCCTTAAGGCCAAGCATATCAGTAAGTGAATATGTGAATCTCAGGACCGGCTCTGCGATAGCAATACAATTAGTGCCCTCCTAAAGTTATCTCCCCTCCCTCAATATTACATGACAATGCTAACTTAGACTTTAGAGCAACCGTTGTAATTAAAAATTAACGTAACAGCTAACAAGACAAAGAAACTGATGGACAAGTGGTGGTTTCTCTTTTCGCAGCTAGTGTTGCTCTATTGTGGGGAGAGTACATGGATATATGAAAATTGGTTTCATTCTCTTACTTACTAATCCATAAATGTATGTATCCATAAATGTATCAATAGAAGTCTATATGTATACAAAAATATTTGATCATTTAATACCTAAAAGTTATATTGGACTCTAAACTCTTCATCATTTTGAAGAAAAACATTAAATGAAGGAAAACTATCTTCAATGATATATCATTTTGAGAGAAAAAAAAACAAAAAGGATATGAATAGTAATACATCAAAATTAAAGGAAACTATTCACAACCTCATTTTTAATTTTTCAATTTACAAATGAATCTTTAAACTTTTAATTATTTTTATATCTAAAAAGATTATATATATATATATTGATACTTTTATTAATACAGCTATAAAATTCATATAGGACATTGTATTTACTATTAATGATTAAATTTATGTATATAATAAATATTTAGTTAAATAAAAATATTGTTAGGTAAAATTTATATATAAGTTTTGAAAATTAAAAGCAATATAAAATTTTAACAATAAGTATTAATAAAAGAACGTATTTGGAATATATTTTTTAGAAGGAAAATGAGAGAAACCGTTGTAACAAAAATCAAACTCATTTAAATTACATCACTTTGAAGGAATTATTGGAGATGCCCTTATTAAAGGGACTAATAGTCGGTAATGAAAAGTCACCCATGTGATAGCTCAAAAATCGATTAGAACAAGAACTTTGATTACAAAACGGGTGATTCAATTGATCGGTCTGGTAAGCCTGATTTTTTTTCTAATGTTTTAACTCCTTCAAACAAACAAACAAAAAAAAAGTTGCTTAAAAAGTAGAAGTCAAAAGCATATAGATGGCGCACCGGACAATAGTTTTGCACGTACTCATTTACCACTTAATTCTGTTTAATTACGATTTACGTTTAATCATTCTAAGACTTTGTAAATATGAAACTATTATTTTCATCCGTTCATTATATACTTTCACATTTATTTCATAAATATTATGAAAAATTGAAAATGCTTTCGGTTTGTTAACCTATAGAATTTCAACCTGAAATCAACCAAACTTCTAAAATCTATGTAAGATGACTCATTTTAACTGAAGACGACAATTAATTGGTCCAAATGATTAAAAATTGCAGTATAAAAGAGTTCAAACTCTACCAAAAAGCATTCGTAGTAAACCATTCAATCTAGCGTTCAAAACATTCTAGTCCATATGCATTTTTTAAAAATTAATCAAATCAAAGTACATATCTAGAAAACAAATAACATTATTTTTTTTTAATTTTGACTAAGTTTCATCTTCAAATGAGGAAGCTGGTAATAATAATATTTACTAGCTGGATTTGTTATTATTATTGGTGCCACTGAAGAAATCTTCGACCACACATAAAGTCGCCTTTCTGTAGAAACCATCCACCGACCATATCAATCACCTTCCAATTCACAATTTCAACATTTCTAGAAATACATAATATATGATCTACAGACTGCAATGATATTCAACAACATATATATTACGATATCTATAATTTAGTATACTATGCTATACTAAATAATATACGATAAACGAGAAACTTACGTTTATCAAAAAAATATACAAATTTATACCAACATAACTTTACACCAACAAAAAAAATATCTATTTAGACAATGGAAAAAACACCTTTATTTTCTTTGATAAATGCATTCAATTTTGTTTATTTCATAAAATGATCTTGATTACTAGTTTACTACTATAGTTTTTTGGTGTAATATAAAAAGAACACCTTTACTTTCCTATCATTCTCCTATAAAGCATACACACCATTACACTAGCCCATTATTATAACAAATCAAATACATAATAAACCAAAAACCTCTTCAACAACTTCTCCACTTTCCCCCACCATCGCCGGAGAAAGAAAACCACCACCACCACCACCACCATGACCTCCAAAGACTGTGGCTCCCACACCCACTCTCGCCGGAAACTAATCCGGCGAATAATATGGTCAGTAATCTTCATCCTCTTCATCATCTTTCTCACAATCCTTCTCGTCTGGGCCATCCTCCAACCTTCAAAGCCACGTTTCATCCTCCAAGACGCCACCGTCTACGCCTTCAACGTCTCCGGCAATCCACCGAACCTCCTCACCTCCAACTTCCAAATCACACTCTCTTCTCGAAACCCTAACGACAAGATAGGCATTTACTACGACCGCCTTGACGTCTACGCTACTTACCATAGCCAACAGATCACTTTCCGAACATCAATCCCTCCGACATATCAGGGACACAAAGAAGTCAACATATGGTCGCCGTTTGTCTACGGAACCTCCGTTCCCGTCGCTCCGTTCAACGCCGTTAGTCTTGACGGCGATCGAGATAACGGCGCAGTTACGTTGCTCATCCGTGCTGACGGTAGAGTGAGGTGGAAAGTTGGGACGTTTATTACAGGGAAGTATCATCTTTACGTGAGGTGTCTTGCGTATATTAACTTCGGTAATAAAGCCGCCGGAGTTATTGTCGGAGATAACGCCGTTAAGTATACGCTTACGAGTAGTTGTAGTGTTAGTGTCTGATTAACGACTCCATTATATGTTATAGTTTTCTTAATTATCATAAGTGATGTGAATTGTACATTTTGCTTATACGATGGCAAATATTACAGATCCGCGATGTTGTTGTGATGAGTTGTAAGAATTTAAATATGAACACTTTTAATAATTAAATCCTAAATTTATTTTTAAGTTATTTTTTGAAATATATATATTTTCGGTGACTATGCAGCTTGTGATCTTATTCCTATCATATCACCTTTTGCTTCAAACTTTTTCGATGATTTCTTTAGTAGTAAGTAAAGCTGGACGGCGACAGAATTTTAAAATCAATCGAATGGATTATGACTCGTTTGTGTTACGGTGTCACTACCTAATTGTCCATATGTATATAAATCTGTCTCCATTTTTTCTTATGTTAAATCGAGATATATTAATTCTAATGTAGTTTTTTTTTGTTTACAATACTCCACAGCAAATAAAAGAGTTTGGGCATAAATAATTGGTAGAAAAAAATAAGAAAGTTGAAAAAGAAAAACCGTGAAGATTGGAGTTATTTTAGTATACTTGTGATTTGTAGATTTTATTTCTGTGTCTATTGATGATGTACTACGTAAAATGTGGGTTTCATGCACAATAAAGCACATCCTTCTAAAATGTTAACGTAACTTAGGGGTTATCGTGAATATTCTTGGATCTTGAAATGGGAAAATCAGGATCCGATACTCACGGTTACAAGTACAAACTTACAAGAATTTAGCCAATTTCTTACTATTATTATATTTTCAAAATTGATATCTAATAGTTAGAATGATTTATATTTAGTATTTAAATAATCAAGTGTTTTTTTTAATAATTAAGTGTATTATATTGCAAATCAACGTAGTTAGACAATCAACATCTAGTATTGGTTTAAATGTTTGTTTTAATAAGAGAATGAATACTTTAATATAAGTATGGGAGAATAATCCACTCAAGTTATCTTGGATGTATACTTTGAATTTTAAGCACATGATGTATACACAATTTTTCGCGAATATAGTTGTCTGAGAAACCTAACCTTGGTTTTATATTATAAAAAATAAGGTGGTTATGATTTATGAACGTGGTACTGTTGACACTTGACACAGGCACTAGCTACATCTATGATTAAGACACTGCCAAACTCACATAATTTTATGAAACTGGTCCTTTTCACCTAACTTTGAAATAGTGTATTTACGACATCGGAAATTCGAGGAAGTTGATTAATGATGCCATAAGAGTGTATCTTTTTTCTGAAAAGAAATACACTCTTAGCTATCTCGAAATATAAATATATGACTCTTCTATATAAGACATATATTTAGTTGATGTATTATTTTTGGTAAATTAGGTATTCATGACTGTAGGGATGATCGCTGAAAGTTGTGACTGATGTGTTAAGCTTCAGTTCTCTCTACAACATTAAAGCCAAAACCAATTAATTTGTGATTTAATTACTCCCCGAAATTCAGAGGCATAGCCAACTCTTTTCAATATATAGTTTGATTAACAGAGTGGTCTAATATACTAATTGGCATAAATTTATTTTTATCTATGAGTTTTTACGTTTCTCTCTAGTATATAGATATAATATACAAGATATTTACGTGAGTAGAATATCACAACTACTACGTAAAGATTATATCAATACGGCATATGAATATAAACTCACAGCTATTCGTTACATGTCATATTATCTGAGTTGTATTTATTTAGAAGATAACTATTTGTTATATAATAATTAGTTACTCAATAACATTTGATTAGTATTTCTCAATTTTGTTTAAACAACTTATTTAATCTATAGTTTACCAATATTATTTAAAATTACGCTTTCTTTAAAAACTCATAAACTATAGCTACAACACAAAAGAAAAATCTACCGTTCAGATTCTAAAGAAAAAATCAAGAACTACAGTAATAACCAATCGGGTTGGCAATTAGGCACTATATGCTATATATAGCAGCATCTTTTCGTTCAGCTACTGTGGACTTAGTCTATCTATTCTGGGCTTTGATTTGTCACCAAAAACTAAAAAGATTTTGATGAGGGACATAAACATAAAGGGCATCTAAAGTTATATAACTTATATCACGCAATGAAATTATATATGAAATCTATCATGTGAAATTCTAGATTACTTCGACCGAAAAGAAAATCCTAGATTACTTTAGCTAATGGGCTTAATTACGTACAGTTTTGGGTTGTGCTTTCTAATTTCTGTGGGTAGGCCTGTTCAATTCAATCCGGTGTTCGGTCCGGTTTCGGTTCGGTTATTTTCGGTTTTCGGTTATTCAGTTTATAAAAATTAGCTACCATATTGAAACCATATTTAATTTAGTTTGGTTCGGTATTTATACTATCGGTTTTCGGTTTATTAGGTTTTATACCAAATAACATTATTATTTGATTTGATTTCATATTATATGAATTTTAAATAAAAAAATATTGTCAAAACTATCATTTACTAAAATAATCCTAGGTGTTCACAAATACAAAAATCTGAAATTAACAACAAACAAAACGACCAACGATTTAGTTTTGTACAATTTTTCTTATTTTCTATTTATTCTTCCAAATAAATTACATGATACAATCTAATTTCACAATTTCTTACAACATGCAAAATAAAATCAAATTTAGATAATAGTTGAAGAAAATAAAATAAAATTATTAAGATATATCTTCACAAGAAATAAAAAAGTAAAAAAAAAAATCATTCCAAGAAAATATATGGTTATATAATGTATATATTTATATATTTTTTCTTTGATCGGTTTTGTTCGGTTTATTCGGTTTAATCGGTTATAAACCTAACCATATCCAAATCCTACGGTTTTTATAAAATCATATCCATTCGGTTTATATGGTATATACCAAATCCAAACCATATTGTCTATTTCGGTTTGGTTCGGTTCGGTACGGTTCCGTATTACCATATTGAACAGCCCTAGGTGAGAGGCAAACTTGATAACTAGTAGTAGATTAAACTTTGTTTCATGTCACCAACGGCTAGTTGTTGATAAACGTGAAATTTGAATTTATCGAGTGCAGAAAAGCTTTGGTTTAATTATCTTTCATGTAAGAAAACGTAACGGCGACTTATTTTTTGAAACTAAGCCGTTTGTTATAAGTTAACCAACTTCAGTTTTATCACCTTTGTAACTTTGTTTAGTATGAAACCAACACTTACTTTGTCTACGTTGCTGCGGTTGCTGCATCCTCAGCCTTATCTGCAACATCCTCATAACCGTAGCCGTTATCCTAGCCATAACCACCATACTTATCTGGCTCATATTCCGTCCCAACGCCGTCAAATTCTATGTAACCGACGCTAATCTGAACCGGTTCAGCCTCGACTTAAACAACAACAGCAACCTCCACTACGATCTTAATCTCAACTTCACGATCCGTAACCCTAACCAACGGCTAGGAGTCTACTACGATGTGGTTCAGGTCAGTGGATATTACGGAGAGCAGCGGTTTGGTTATGTAGACGTTTCGCCGTTTTATCAGGGACATAAGAACACGACGGTGGTTGTGACAAAGGTTAAGGGACAGAACTTGGTGGTGTTCGGGGATGGAGCGAGAGCGGATTTGAAGGAGGATGGAAAAGCTGGAGTTTATAGGATCGATGTGAAGATGGTGATGAGTGTTAGGTTTAGGTTTTGGGTGGTAACGTCATGGAAATTCAAACCGAAGATTAAGTGTAGTGATCTTAAAGTTCCTCTCGTGTCCTCTAATTCGACGAGCGGGTTTAAGTTTCAAACTAGGGAGTGTGACTTTGACTTTTATTAGTCAACCATGCAGTTTTGTGGATTGTTTTTAAAGTTCAATAGTCTGTATGGAATGTGTTGGAAAAGAAACACATGAGGATTATGTGGTGTGTATTGGAGTTGAAATCTTGAAAATATATTCTTGTTTGATTTGATTTTATTACATGTATGTGAAAATATATTCTTGCTTTTAAACATTTATGTGAATATCCTACATCACATAGTTCTTATTCATGCAATAGATTTTTTCTTCTAAATGATGAAAAACTTTATTGCATAAGACTAAGAACTGATACACTTTTCACTTGATCATCTAATTCTAAAGTATACATGTACTATTTGTTTTTCTTGAGTTACCTATCTAACCACGTTTTGGAGAACTGCAAAATCATTATCTGCCATTACCACACTATATGGGCCCATATGGCTAAAGCCTTTGGATATTACAAGTTTCATCAGCATAAAGCTTCCAAACCCACTTTTGAATATTACAAGTTATACCACCAAAACTATCAAAACTCAAGATTAAAGTATTCAGAATAGATTAGCCGAGTTAACACAGGAATTCATATCAGCTTGAGATTTTGATAGTGTCATCAGGAATGCTTATCAGCTTCAGTTTTTTAACAAAACATACAACAAAGTCATGACAAGAAAATAAAGAACAAGTCCTCCGACAAAAACCTGTAAATAATTAGTACTAAACTATTCCACTCCTAATACTAAATAAACCATATCCCGACATATCTGAGAGCTTTGGAAAATTGAAATAACAACCCTTGCTGTTACCGACTACGTCATAAACAAACATCAATGACATCATCATCCACATCCCGACAAGGAGACGGCGAAGGAGTGAAGTAAGGAGGCGAATCACACGGCGTCAAGAACGGAGTAGGCTCCCTGCCACATTCCACGGGAATATCAATCCGTACTAGTTCACTTTCATCATCATCATCTTCCATTTCCAAATCATCTTCTTCTATTGTAAACAGAAGCCTAGACACTCGCCACTTGTCCACCGCCGCAACATCCTCCTCCTCTGTCTCCACGGCAACACCACTATCCTCCTCAATCTGTATAGAAACATTCCCCGTTGGCTCAATACGAGACTGGTTCTTCTTGCAACACATAAAGAACTGGAGTAGAACCTCTTTACTTGCCGGAGACGGCGTGGGACGACGACAGAAGATGTAAGAGAGTTCGGCGAAGAAGATGAGGAGGAAGAGGAGTAAGACGGCGAGTAGAATGGCACAGGAGTTGGTGAGGGCATGCATACTTTGTTGAAGAGAGAGTGGGATCGAGTGTGAATGAAAATGAACTAATGTGACCGGATGGTAGTGTAGTTCAAGCACGAGAGTTAACCGGTGTTTATAAGTTGCCGGTTGGTTAAAAGAGGTGGTGTTTGATGGTGATGATTAATGATGTTGGAACTTGTGGGCAAGGGGACAAAGAACTTTTTACAGGTAGCATGCTGCCTTTTTTATTGTTGTATCATTAATTGTTACAGATTTTTCAGTTGTGGAATGAATGAGATTTATACTCTCCATTTCATTTTAATTCTTGTTGTACACTTTAAAATCTGTTTATTATAAAAGGCCATTTAGTTTTTTTTTTTACTTTCAAATTTATTTTTAGCCATTAACTAATAAATTCAAATAAAACAATATATTAAAAATGTAAACTACGTATAAAATGAAACAATGCAAAAGAATTTAAGGGGTTTTTAGTTGTGGAATGTGTTTGGAATATAGAGTAGTTCACAGTTTGACCTTTTTCAAGTAAACAATATATTCTGCTAAAAAGTTTGTAGTGAGTGCTATTTTCACATTTTAAAAATTTAAAGATATGTTATTACATACACTTATATGTTGTCTGAAATGTTTTTTTATATGTTCAGCATTGAATGCAAAAGATCTAATTCAAATGCTGTTGAAAAGGGGGAAAATAAATTGATTTAATACATATTGCAGAAGGCAGTCAAGTATAAGTATGGGATATGTGAATATTAATAATGTGTAGCAGGAAAATGAAAATCACGAAAATTTATTAATGGGAAAATGAAGTTTTCTGGATTTGGGAGACACACACTCTTGCTTCACAAAAGATTATTCAGCGTAAGAGAAAAGAAAAACACACACTCATGCTCTCACATACAACAAAGGGTTTTGGTACCTTAAGCTATTCTAAATAGCTGAGAAGTACTCTTTGCTGAGCTTGGGGTCAGGTTTCATTGACTTCTCACCTGGTTTCCATCCTGCTGGGCAGACCTCATCAGGGTTCTCCTGGATGTACTGTAACGCCTGCAACACCGAGAACACATCATGTAACCGGATGAAGGAAAGAGTATGGTTTTGAGTAATGTGTTATATTTGTATACCTGGAGAGTTCTCATGGTCTCATCAACGCTTCTTCCAATACCAAGATTGTTGATGGTGGAATGTTGAATCACTCCTTCTTTGTCGATAATGAAAAGCCCCCTTAGTGCTATTCCCTGTTCTTACCACAAAAATTACTATTCGTTATCATAACAAACACTTTGAAAAGTTTAAAGGAAGCTAAGTTTTTTACCTGATCATGGATGAGAACTCCAAAGGACTTTGAGATTGATTTAGTTACATCTGAGATAAGGGGGTAGTTCAGATCACCAAGCCCACCAGATTTTCTGTCTGTTTGTACCCACGCAAGATGAGAGAACTAAGTAGAAACCAGCAAAAGAAACAGAGACAGAGTCAAGCAATGATGTCACAAAAAGAAGATTGAGAATTGGAGTGAAAATATGAATACTTACCACACTATCAACAGAGACACCTAATACTTCTGTGTTCAACTTCTCAAACTCTGCATACCGATCACTGAAGGCAGTAATCTCTACAAGACACAAAAAGAGATTAGGAAGCAGTGAGTGAACTTCAGATACTTAGATAAAGCAAATGCTACTAACCTGTAGGGCAGACGAAAGTGAAGTCCAAAGGGTAGAAAAAGAGAACCACATACTTCTTCCCAATGTACTCAGATAGCTTAACCTGAAAACCATCAATTACAAAATTAGTCATTAGCTTCAGAGAAAAACTTATGTCCCAGATTAAGTTGAAGCAACAGATATGATTGACATTGTTGTAAGAAACTAAGTCAAGACAAAATGGAAATAAAGGAAGGTTTTTTAGAGAAGATACCTTGATGAACTCCTGATCAAACACAGCCTCTGCTTCAAAATCAGGGGCCTTGTTTCCCACCAATGGAAGATCATCCTATCAACACATAAAGGACGAATCTTTAACACATCTAAGGAGCAAGAACATATGCGCTGCCAAAAACAATTAGAACAAAACCAACAACCCTATGAACAAAACTAGCAATCTCAAAGCAAAATGTCAATAAAGTTCCGAACTTTAAGTGGAATCTACACAGAACAGAACCTATGTAATGATTAATGAACTCTGATTCCAAGCAGAAGGAAGCGGCATTGAGATTAACTTACGGTCTGAGCCTTGACAGCAAAGCTTCTGCGAGAAGTGGAGCTGAGGGAAGAGCGTTGAGCAAAACCAGAGCGGAGAGAAACTGATGCGGAAGGAGAGGATAAGGTTCGGAGGAAAGAGAGGGAGGGAGAAGGAAGAGAAGAAGAAGACTTGGCTGGGAAAACCCTAGTGGAGGATGAGATGAGAGTTGTTGAAGAAGTTAGAGACGCCATTGATACACAAACAAACACCTTTTGTGACTCTTGTCTGTCTGAACGACCAGAAAGCTTATCTGTGTGTGTCTCAACGACCTGAGTGGAAGTATGAGGTGGAGATAAGCCCAAAGAACTTTTAACACTTTAAACGACGTCGCATTGATTAATAGTGCACATCATCTTGTATCCAGCTTCAGAGCTTCATGGGTCTGATACTGTTGACAATTAATGGGCCAAAAAGAAAGAGGTGCAAGTTGGTCAAGCCCAACGGAACTAACTTCTTTTAATCCATAAACGCAAAACATCTCCATAGTTGCAACCGTAACGGTTGCATTAATTCGAATATAAATAGGAGGGGTAAAAACAATGCAATAAATCGCGATTAGTGAGTATTTAAGGTGAGAGGAGAAAATTAGGGGACTATAGTTGAATATACCAACACACAATTAGCTTATGTTTCGTATATTTATTTATTTTGGAAAAAGATTATAACCCATTGATCACACCACAAATATTTATGAAATGTTAATTGTTGGTCCACATACAACAAAACTGAGATGTTTTAGAGAAGGGAAAATAGAATTGGGACGACGATAATAAAGAAATACTAGAATTAATCCCCTCTAACAAGGGTATTTGTATTGACAAAAGATGGACAAAAATATTTTATTAAAGGATGAATTAAATTCGTATTTATCGTTCTTACGTAACGCTCGTTATCCTCAACTGCCTCAATTACTCTTGCATTTATATTTGATTTAAATGATTTCATCACTTTGAATCTATTAACTACCCATCTTCAATTGTAACCAACTTTCACCCCTTACCATTATTAAAAACAGATAAAAAGATAAATTTTCTGAAAATTACCAAATTAATTTTGATTATTTTATTTTGCCATTTGCAGGTCTGACAAAATCCACAGTTTATTTCTCTGATTGAGAATTCATTTTCAGGAGAAAAAAAAATCTTGTTATTTTATTCTCTCTTTTTTTTTTTGCAGGAAACCAAAGTTCAGCTTTGTACTTATCATTAGCTACAAACTAAAGTCCGAGAGTTTGTTAGAATTTCTTATAAAATGCATATTAGTGATCCCTCTGACCAAAAGAGAAAAAAGAAAAAAAAATTGCATGTTAGGGTTGCCAAATCCAATCTTCGTGTCCTTAATTTATATCAGGTATAACTTCATTAGTTTGGGGAGTAAAAATATTCGTAAACCAAGAAACAGATAAGATTACTCTTTCACATCTTCAAGCAACAAAGGTTGAGAAGCATATAAAGACACAAAATGTGAATGTTTATTGATCTTGTAGAAGCAACATTCCCGTACCCTTTTTACATAATCCAAGGAACTTTCAGACATGTTCGTGATACCCATTAGGGCACCGGATAAGCTGAATTATAAGAGTCCCGGAATAAATCAATACGAAGAACAACCAACAACACATGGTTCATTATACTGAGCATCATTTGCTCTACAAAATCCATATTTCTTTAAAAGCAAAGTTAGTGCTATTCGCGCTCCATTCTATGGTGTGATATGGAGCGCGATTAGCACTATTCAAGACAAAAAAAATACTAGAAAGAGCAAAAGAAAAGACATAAACATGCACGGTTGGATCAGTCTATATATAGATTGATTACATCTTTCGGTTATTGGAAAAGGGTTGAACTAAACAATCATTTCCACCAGGTCTTATTACGTTTGGTGGGAGCGGTTGTAGCTGCGGAGGCGTTTTGATGGAGGAAGTCGAGTAGGACGGTGCTTTTGCATTTTGGGCATTTTGGTTCATCTTGAGAGAGCATAACGTACATAAGGCAACGAGGGCAGCCGACAAGAACCATTGAGGTTGCTGCCTCCATCTCCTCCTGGTTCGTTTCAGAGGAAACGCATGAGCTAGGTGAAGTTGTGTTGGACCGGCTTGGAGATCGAACCAGACTCATCATCTGATTAGCTTGAGAAGAAGGTGGCGAAAGGTTCAGCTTCAGCTCGAGCTTAGGGCCGTTCCTGTTCCTCCCGCTCATCGATCCTCTCTTTGGGAGGAGTTGTTTTGGTTATATGGAGAAGTCTTCTTGTTGGTTCTGGTTAGGCCATTTTATAAAACAAAACATACGTAAAGCTGTTCAGAGAGAGAGAGAGAGAGAGAGAGATTTAAATAAATTCATTAAGGCTCAATTTAATGGGAATTTTATTACTATAGATGAATATATATACTCATATACCATGATAGAATGACTAGTCGTTAACTGCTAACAATGGTTTTTACTTACCCGGCTGAAGAAAAATATTTATTTTTCTTTTAAGTGGCCATGCTGACAGATCGTTTATAACGTAAGCTTAATCGATGCACGAAGATAATTAAATGTATATTAATGTTAACCACAGGATTGCAAAACCTATTATAGAGACTTACTATACACAATACTATACTACTAGTTACGGTACTATATACTCCATATTCTAGTAAGATAATTAAATGGCTACGTAAAAGTTAAATTGTTATGACTACAATATCACGAAGCTTCACACCAAAAGCAAGGTATTAATATTGCAGTGTGAGTTAATTTCCCATGTGAAGTTATTTAATGGTTTGGAAGAAGGATTTGCTCAAACAAAAAATTTATATTTTGTCTATTAAAAACATTGAAGTAGTAATATCTTCGGAACTACTAGTATAATAAAAGTTGGCCAACCTTACCATTAATTCCATTCACTGAAGCTATGACTATGCTTGGCTGGATTTACAATTAATGTCTTTTTTTTTAAAAAAAAAAAGAGAGGCTTCATTTACAATTACAATTAATGTTAAACCGATAAGTATGAATGAATAACCCATATTCGGATTTGGTACTTTATGTTACACTAGCTGTAGAGATGCATGAGATTATTTTGTAAAATTAAATGTTTTTGTTTTCTACAAACACAGACATGCACAGTATTTCAAAGTTTGAGACTATTCAAAACTAAAATGCCATTGTTGCAAGGACTGTTAATGTTTTTACTTTTTAGCATGTTGTTTATCATATTTGTTGGCATGTGTAAAAATAGCATTTACTGGCCATAATTAAATGGAAGTTTTCTGGACAAACAAAAGTGTTAACTCAAAATCCTGTCAATAGAAATTTCTGTATAACGAGAAATGTTCATGATATTCAACTCACAACTGAAAGTTTTCTTTTGCTTGGTTTAAATTAAACGTCGCTTTCGGTTTGCTACTGTTTCAAGTGTCTTGAAGAGGGACATATGTATGTAGTTTTTAAACCAATCCAAATGCTTTCTTTTAGTTTCTGCCAAAACAAAATCTATTTCTTTGTACTTTCGGTCCCATTATGTTTTCTCTTGTTACTACGAAACTATTGTCGACTATTAAGTTATTTAGAGAAAAAAATTGAAACTTCTAATTCTTTTCTTAGCTCTTTCACTAAACTGGAAATTTTATTTCTTCTTCATTATTGATTTAAGACTAAGACTAGAAAATAGACATGTGTCCACCTGTTTTTGTCATGATGAACCGAATCGAACCGACGTTGACATAGATCATTTCGACGATTCTTCAAAATATGTGTATAATATAAACCAGTTTGGAGTTTAAGTTTTACTCATGATTTCACGTTGCATTTATCCTTAAGTTTCAGTTTTTTTTTTCCGCCAGGCATAATATACAGTCTTTGGCTCTTTGCATTATTCTATTTCATTGTTGATTATTGTGATCTATACGTAGGTGAACATGGATATACACGTTGACTAATAGTACATACGTATGCTGCCAATTAATTAAACTAACATTAATGATTCAGCTGACTTTTTAGATATGTGAATCTTTAAAATTAATTATAACGTTCGTGTAAACGACATGGGCAGAGTAACAAACGATTATATGAACAATTCCGTTTAGTTATTCTTTGCGTGTACAATGCAAAAGGTAAAGCTTTAGGTTATGAATGGGAGGGGCAGAAGAAAGGCAGATCATGCAGTTCTCCCGCAATAGGCAGTTCTCCTGCCTTATGTTTACCATTCACTATTTTCTGTTTGTAAAAGCAGTTCAAGCGGGAGATCTACATGCAGTTCAATTTTTTTGTCTTTTAGTAGAAAAAACAGGAGATCTGCATGCAGATCTCATCCGCTAACATTTGGTGGTGTTGATCTGCCTTTTTTTCACTTTTACTAATAAATAGTTTTATTACAAACACTTAACTTTAAAATATATTTATTTGATTTTATAAATAATGTACAATTATTAACTCAAACTATATAGTTCACATTAATATTATTTGTGTCATTTTAAAGTTATAAGCATGAAGTATAATCGCCAAAAAAAACACAATATTTTCCACGAAAAATATAAATTTTTCTACATAAGTGTTAACAAAAAAATAATTATTTTATATTTTAAAATAATTAATAAATAGAAGAAGTATAAACATTTAGGCTGATCCTACAATATTTAAATATTTATATTGATATTTGGTATAATTTTATTCTTTTAATATATGATCTATAGTTTTGAACTTATTTTGTCATTCATAATTTATGATAAATTATTTGATCTGCATCTCTCCTGCTTGATCCGCTTGATCTGCACTTGTCCTGCTTTATCTGCACTTGTCCTGCTTGATCAGCATGAACCGCTTGATCTGCTTTTACCATTCGAAGCCTTAATTGTGACAAAGAAAATGAACGTTTCTAAAATCGATAAGATAAACTTACCGAATACAAATGCTTATACAAATTTTCTCTAACGCCAGTTCTTTTTCCAAATTTAGTCTCCTAGTGAAATTGTAAAATCATTTTACGTTGACAAAGAAAACACTTGTCATTTTTATAACGTACGAAGTTAAATCCGATAATATTTTTTTTGTCCAGCAAACATGTCAATAAAAACATCTCCAAAAGAATACTCTATTTTAAAGTTTGTAAAACTCTATTTTTAAAGTTTCAATATGTTCTTTTCCAAAAACAAAACTTCAAATATAACATTAAAACTATTTATATTTTATTCTATAGTCTTTATATTTTTCATAATTAGTATAAATTCATAATTTTTTTTATAATTAACTAGCACATATTGAAAACATAATAATAATATTAATTAAAAAATATTTACTCTAAAATATAAAACAATAAATAGAAATACATAACTAAATAATAAACTACAAACAAAATATCACATTAGTTCATAAAATTATGTTCATAATGCTCCTTCAGTTACACAATACTTATTTGGATAATATTTTGGAGATTTTGAAGGTTTCAGAGAAAAATTACCATATTATTAGTATTGTTGTAATATTTAAATTTATGTAATAACTATGTTTTTCATGTATCTTTTTTTATAAAAAACTTAAGTTTCTTTTGTAATATTCATGAAGTCTAATTTTAGTTTTAAAATAATATAAATTTTATTTAAAGTTGTATGTATAAAAATTAAATTTATAAAATCAGATCTGAAATATTTATAAAATATAAAATCTTTAAGGATTAAAATGTTAAACGAGATATATTGAAAAATCATAAATATAATATATAATTAATTGTAAAGACCAAAATGCAAATAAAAATATGAAACTTCAAATTTGAAGTTTTGAAATTACTTTTCGAAGAACCAAAAACTCTATATTTAGTGTTATAGAGTATCTTTTGGAGATGACCTAATATTATCTGCCATGCGATAGTAGTTGATCTAAGACTAAGAATAAGACAACTCTTGTAGGCTGTCATAAGTTATGACTCATAACGGTGATTCGTGGATCACAAAGAAACGATACAACGGATCTATCTCATGTGGTATAAAGAAAAATCTCTTTATAGCTCTTGGTTAGGTTGAACTTTTTTTGTTGCCAACGGTTAGGTTGAACTTTTTTTGTTGCCAACGGTTAGGTTGAAGTTAATCCATCTCTATTATTAAAAGAGAAGTACCCACTAAAAAGTATCTCTAAGTTTTCCAACTTATTTACACTCATATGCCACTGAGAATTTAATTAAACTTCCTATTTAAATGCTTGTCTTTTTCTGTTATATTAATTAAACATCCTATTTAAATGCTTGTCTTTTTCAGTTATATTAATGAGTTATTTAATCAACCAAAAAATACCTGCATCACTAACATGTCTTTTTCACGTATATTAATGATAACTCATTTACTGCATCACTAACATCACTGATATATTACATGCATCTAAAATGTGTATCAATAAAACGTGCATCACTAAT